GGGTGGGGGGGGGGGGTCTCCACCCCAAGAGAGACTCATTCTGCATCACTCCTAGGCATGTTTCTCCTCCCTCCCCATCCCAAACCCACGAGCCCAAGGCTGTCCCTGTGCATGTTAAGGACCTTTGTGGTTTGTGGGCTGCTTTCTCCAGGCTGGTATGGGCTGGGAACCAGCAGGAAAATCAAATCAGGGCTGCAGGAAGGGATAAGGTGACCTCATATCACATTTGGACTCCTGCTCAGGGTTGTCAAGTGGGCCAGGGCAAGGGTGTCTCCTTGCCAGGAGGTGGCCAGGGTGTGAGTCCTCTGCCCCTGGTGTCCGGTGGCCCAGGCCAGCCCTTGGTCCCCGTGGCTCTGCAGATCGTGGTGCTGGGCACTGGGAGCAGGGATGAGGTCACCTTCCCGGATAGCGCTGGGATTCGGGCTGGCTGGGAGCTGCGGTGTGTGTCATGCCCTGGCTCTCCTGGGATGGGCGATTTCCTTTGCAACCCTTGAGCAGGTGGTGGCTTCTCTCTGTCCTCGCTCCTTCAGGCACATCTGCTTGTCCCAGTGCCACTGGGCAGGGGTAGACCCTGATGATAGTCATGCAACTGCTCCGTGCCTCAGTTTCCCTGTTTGTAAAACAGAGAGAACACTTCCTTCCCTCCCATCCTTTTTCTGACCAGCGGTGGAACGTGAACTGTCTCTTACCAAGAGTTTGAACAGGACCAAGTGTTTGTGCTGCCCTTAATACAAGGGGTCTCTACCCCATGTGAGGGCTCTGGATGCTGCTACTAAATTAGCTGGGAGATGATTTTTTTTCCATCGCTCTCAAAGCAGAAGCAATGGAGGGAAATAGAGACAGAGAAGGGGAGACCTGACCAAGATCAACCTGCAAATCAGTGGCAGAGCCTGGGGGAGACCCTCAACACAAACAACTCCCCAAAATCCTCTTTGCCTCCATCAACCCCTTTCTGCTCATGAGTAAACACCCTCCCCCTCCAACTTTTTTTGCCCCCCATCCCACCCTGACTCTGAACCCTGCAGGGAGCCACGCAGGGAGGACAGGTTCAGGCCCTCCCTCCGTCCCTCCAGAGGAGGGAATGAGACAAGCTGCTGAGTGGTTTCCTGCCCAGCACTGCCAATGGGAGATGCTTGGGGTGCCGGGAGCAGGGGAGGATGTATCCGGAGCTGAGTGTTTCCTGGCAGATAAGGCCAGCCCCTCCTGCCCGGATGTTATGAGTCCAGGTCCTACCTCCACGTTTCAAGCGAAGGGGCCGAGGAAAGGCTTGGATGTTTATGTCAAGGAAAAATAACTTCTCCCTCTGTGTACAATCCTCCAGCTCCCCCAGGGCTACATGTGGGAGGGTAAATGCTGGGAATGGGAAAACAGGGGTGAGGGGATGGAGGTGGGTGATGGGGGGGAAGGGTTTGACCCCAGGGCAGGAGGGCTGTGGGTGGGCTGGGAAGGCTGGGGGATCTCCGTCCCCGCTGGGTGGGAGGGTGTCAAGGCAAAGGCAGGGGGGAGCCCAGGGCTGGATATGAAGGTTCAATCCTGTAGGCTCATGCTCAGCATCAGTCCAGAGTCACCTTGGCAACAACCCAGCTGACTGACTGCAGCACGTCACCTCTGGTACCCACCTGAGGGAGACCCAGACCCCAGCCAGGACTTGCTTAGAAGAGCCCCTTCAAGGTAGGGGCCAAGAACACCCACACCAGCCCCTGTGGCTGAAGGTCCAGGGTTGGCTCCTGCCCACATTCTCACCCAGAGATTCAGAGATGTTGAAAGAAGGAAGAAAGTGGAAGAATGGGGTCAAACAGCCCAGCGACACCCATCTAGCTGGGGAGAGGTTGTGCGGTGGGTATGGAAGGAATGAGATAAATAGGGATATTCTCCCAGGGACAGATGTCCATCTCTGCAATAAATCAGTAAAATCCAGTGTTGTCTGGACCCTCTTCTTTTAGATGCTCCTACAGCCTTTCTGGGACAATCCACAGAGCTCAAGCCAAAACCTCCAGACTGTCTGAAGGCCAGTACATCTTCAGAGTCACCTCTGGACATGGGAAGGGGGACAGAGAGACCTGCACTAGGCGCACACTGGACAAGAAATCAGGACAGGGAAGATCCCCAGCCCTCAACAGCAATTGTCCACACTGCGGAATTATCACAGTCCACAGCATAGTGGTGCCCAGGCCGACAAGTCTTCCTCCAACTCCTGGGTGGAGGTAGCCAAGGACATCTCCAACGAAGAATTGGATGTGGCCACCTGGTTGGATGTGGCCAGACCAACCCAGAGGCCTCAAGGCCAAACAGCTGAGTCTGGGCACTACCAGAGACTGTACAGGCATTTTTTTTTTTTTTTTTTTTGCTAGCACTGAGCAACTTCTGACAGAGTTTTGTCTTCGGCATCAACAGAGAGAAATCTGACAACAGACAAAATCTGGCGGTCTCCTGGCCAGGGTGGATAACAAGAACTGAGCTGCCTCCCCACCCCTGTTTATTCCCATGTCAATGAAAGAGGGAATGCTGGGGGTCCCATTTCCCACACAGTGGGGTGGAGAGAGGACTGGAGGACACCCTGAGAGGAAGGAGAGAGGGGGAAACCCCTTCTCTTCCTCCTCCTCAGAGCTTGCGGAGCCCATGAGGGTCCCTGCTGGCAGGTGAAGGGCATCTGAGGAGCATTACTGCATGCAGGCAGAGTTTGGAGTCAAGAAGGCTCATGCTGGAGACCTGACCCGTGCCCTCCTTCCATCTCTCCCACCCGTTTTCCCTCAGTACCCCAAATGTCCCCCTCCACCTCCCCAGACATCTGGGATGCACCCTGCCTCGGCAAGCCCAAGATGTTGTTCTTTCCCTTTGATTTCCAGGAGCTCCTGCTTGGCCCCCAGAGCCTCACAGCAAACAAAACATCAGAAGCCAGGGCTGGCGTGCAGGAAGGAAACCTGCTCACGTGGGGGCTGAGTCACGATCCCGCTGCTCCCTCCCAGCATCCCAGGGAACGGGCAGCATCAGGTACCAAGGGATGACAAGTCCCACTGCCCCTGTGACCAGCTAGGGCACCAAAAATCCTTCTCCACCACCACCACCACCCTATTTTCTTGTTTTGAGAAACAAAACACCTCTTTGGGTTTTTTTCCTTCAGCCTGAGTGTGTAAAACTGGGTTTGCTTCCCCGGCAAGTGAACGGTCTCCATGCTGCCCGTTTGGTCCTCAGCCAAAATCCAGGGAGGATGCTGAAAACCTTAGTTTAAAGCAGCCTCCTCAGCACCCCTGACCTGGGACCAGCTATTTGGTTTTCTGCTGTCAGGGACAGGCTTCTCATCTTGAGCATCACACGATACCACAAAGATTATCACCACTCAGACCCCTCTGGAGTAGCAAAGGCCTGAGGTCTAATTTGTCTCTGAACCCAGGAGCACCATGAGCTCTGGTCTAGAGGGGACAGTATTCCCAACTCTACCCCTCTCATTTACAGGAGATATGAGATATACATTTATGCATATATATATATATATATATATATGCACAGAGGAGATATCACACACACACACACACACACACACATACATGCCAAATCTGGTGTGACCTAAGGCTGCTGCAGCCTGTGATGTTTTTTCTGACAGGGGAAGGAAAACGTGTCTGAAGATGAGTAGAAGAACGAGGGAAGCGGAACAATCCACCCCAGCTCCTCTCCTTCCTCAGACCACCTGCAACTCAGGACTTTGTGAGCTCTGTTTTG